TATTTTTAATATTAGTATGGTATTGTTTAATATTTAGGTTATGAATATGTTTATTATTGTGTTTAATTTGTTTAAATTTGTGTTAAAGGGGAGTTAAAGTGTATTATGGACTTGGTTATTTTAATAGTTGGTTAATGTTAGATAGATTTTGATTATTATATTTGTAACCCTGTGTTCAGCTCTGGGAAGTGGGGGAGGGTGAGGGTGGGGTTTTGGGGTGAGTATGGGGGTTTATACTGTAATCTTTATAAAACTTTTAATTAAAAAAATAAATACTGAGGATAAGATGCAGCGCAATCAGATTAGTTTGTCTCTTGCTGTTTTTTCTTCCTAGATTCTGATAGTTCTGACAGTGTTCCTGAGAAATGCGCAGTTAAGACAGGCATAAAGAAAGTGAAAAAACCTCCCGCAGTGGCGGCAAAGAAAGTAGAAAGTATCGTCGAAGATAAGACTGTTCATAAAAGAAAAGGCACAAAGGCTGTCAAAACAGCGCCCAAATCCAGCACCCCTGTCTCTAAACCAGAGAGTTCTGAGTCAAGCAGCTCCAGCAGTGAAGAAGAGACTCAGCCAACCAAGAAAGCAGCTAGCAAACTCTCAGGGGCTGGCAATTTGGTCATCAGCAAGCAAGCCCCAGCTGAGAGCAGAACCTCTTCCGAGAGTTCCACTGATGAACAATTTAAAATATCTGAACAAAGAGAAAGAAAGAAAGAACAAAATAATTGCAAAGCAGCAAAAAAAGCGCTAAAACCCTCAGCCAACTTGGTGGGCAAAACATCTGCATCAAAGACTTCAACATCTGAAGTGCCGAATACGGCAAACAACGGTAATTCTGATGAAGAGGCCACAAAAGAAGGTTAGTCATTTTTCATGTGGGAGGTATTAAATAGAATGGAGCTAGTTTGGAAATAACACCAAATCGAATACCATAAAATAAAGGGGAAAAAAATGTGATGGAATGTGCACCTTTGAGAATCAATGGATAAGAGTTTGGTCAACATAGAGCTTTCCCAGAGAGAGGCATGGAAGTCCAAAGCTGGATGGGTAGAAGGGAAGAGGGTCAAGGTAACCACACCTAGAATCTCTCATAATAGATCTAGTAGGTTAGAAGGTTATAGCTTTATTTAGTATGGCAAGATTCTGCTTGTTAAGGGTAAGCAGTTGAAGGATTGGACTCATTTGGATCTTGCTGTGTTATCTTTGGGCTTGATTTAATATGATCGGTGAACATCATCCCTGTCTGTCAAGGAAGACTTTGTAGTGGCTCACAGCATGCCACAGCATCATTTTAACCATAGCTTAATCATGCTTTGGCTTAGACCAGTGGTTCTCAACCTTTTTAATGCCGTGACCCCATAATACAGTTCCCCATGTTGTGGTGACCCCAGGTGCCAGGGGCGTGGCCAAGTGGGTGTGGCTGCCAAGTGGGTGTGGCCACCAAGTGGGCGTGGCCACCATGTTGTGGTGACCTCCAACCATAAAATTATTTTCATTGCTATTTCATAACTGTAATTTTGC